AAATGTATACTTGGAATAAAACTTGTCATATGTAACTCACTCATCTGTTACCAGCTTCATACTTTTGTTTCAGAGTATGAAATAAAAGTATAAAAAAATCTTCAAAGTGAAAAACTAATTTCATGGGGGGGGCATTATAAACAGCACGTCATATGAATATATAACTGTGCTGTTCTTGCATATTTTGCCGAATATGTTTGATGTGTATTTGAATATTATTTTAACTGACAGTTTGTTAGAATTTCTATGTGGACTGTTTTAATAATTAAAATACTTTCTCATACAACAAGCAAACATTGACTTTCAAAGAAATTGCCTTTTGCCACTTTTTCAAAGTTTTCTTACCAATGTAATCGTAACCCAATTGTAACATGTGGTCATTCTGGCAAAACCCAAGGCTCATGTACATTTTGCTGTTCTTCACTTCCGAATGGAAATTTCTACTATATATATAGCTTTTTATAAATGATTGTACCGATGATAATCAGGGCCAAAATAATTTAAAGGTTTGTAACGGTTTGTCAAAATAATTTGCCAATTTATATATTAATCACCCACAAATGAACTCGGCAGCCACTAAATGTATTTTTATCTTTTATCAAAGATAAGAGTTTAAAGTCAGAGGTTAAAGTTTGAGAAAAACTACAGTACAGGCCCTGAATTAAAAATTTGTCCCGGGCCCCCGAATTTCTCTGTGCGTTCCTGAGTGCTAGCTATGTATCGTTATACACTTCTCAAAATTCTAACAATAACTGCTTTTAAAACTACATGAAATTTATGAATATGCAACTAGTGCTAGCTATATATTGTACACGTCTCAAAATTTTAACGGTAACTGCTTTAAAACTACATGAAATTTATGAAATATACAAATGTCAAATGCTATATATATATTGTTAGGCTACTTAAGCCGGTTACAGACAAGCAAGTTTTCTATGACAAACTTTTATGTGACAAGTTTTATTTGCTCGTCTGTACGCGCAACTTTGACAAGTTTTTCTATGACAAGTGCACTTGTTCAAAAGCTAGCATGCTAGCTAGAAAAAAATTGTCAAAGTACAAATTTTGTTCGTCTGTATGGGTCAACAAAGAAAACTTGTCAAAGTAATCTGAGCATTTGATGTGATTGGCCAGCTAGCCACTAATAAATTGTCAAAGTAAACTTGTTGACACGTTCACACCAGTAAATAAAACTTGTCGTATGAAAACTTGTCATATAAAATTTGTTGCATATAAACACATGTGCACTTGGAAAATAGAACTTGTCACATAAAAACTTGTCACAGAAAACTTGCTCGTCTGTAACCGGCTTTAATTGTACTACCAGTTCAACTTCTGTCACTCTGCCCTGATGTACAAATGCTATATATACTGTTACTTAATTGTATTGCTATGCAGTTCATGCATCATCTGTTACTCTTTGTCTATACAGTATATAAATGCAATATATATATATTGTTACTTAATTGTACTACCAGTTCAACGTCTGTCACTGTTGCCCTAATATACAAATGCTATATATATTGTTACTTAATTGTATAACCTCACTGTAAATTTCCACATGAATCAACTGGAAAAGTGGTCACCAAAAACGGTGACGGAATAACTTTTTTGGAGTTGATTCAATTCTTTGAAATTTCCAGTGTAAACGTGTACGTGCTTTGGTCGCTAAGGTTAGTTTTGGGGTTCCAAGTGATAGCATCAAGTTCTTTATTTTTATCAGATCTCGTACGACTCTTGCTTTCTGTTGAATAAGGGACTAGTTCAGATTAGAGCAGGCTTATCGCGTTCATGGTTAACTTATGGAACAGTATGTTTTTCCTTTCTTTGAGCATGTTTCTCTCAATGCTGCTTCATCGGTTATTAACCAAGATTCGTGTACATCTACGTTGTGCTGAATAAGGATTTGAACAACACGTTGTTTTCGAGCAAGCCCTTCTTCAGTGTTATATCTAGCTTCAAAAGCATAATGAAGCGCAGTACGTCCATAAAAATCCTGTTGATTCACTTCAGCTCCATGATCCAAGAGTAACGACACCACCTGTTCCGCCGCAGTTGAATCCACAAAAAGATCATTTAGGTTCTTACACGTTAGCATTAGAGCAGTTACCGCAGGACCTCCTCTGTTGCTTGGGTTTGCTCCATGTTTTAAACACTTTTCTAGCTGTTGTAGCTTTCGATCCCCGAGAAACCCAGAGTTTCCTGGTAAAAGCGAGTGCCAGCCATACTTGAACTCCACATAAATCATTCCATCTCTCAGAAGGCGTTCAATTTCTGAACAAGAATAAAGCATAATTATATACATGTATACGGCTAACTATATAGTATACTATATAATATACTGTACCTCGCAAAGAATGCACTACATTTACACTATCAGAGAGGTGTCTGTATGAGCGAGGTATCTCTACTAGGGAGGTATTCATATTAGAGAGGTATCCGTATTGGGAAGGTAGGCTACGTCCACACTATTAGACCAATCCGTTTTCGAATCCCTTCGTTTTTTATATTTCGAAAAAGCATACAAATATCTGCGTCCACAGTAGCGTTTTCGGATCGTTTTTTACCACACTAGCACTTAAAAAACGATAATTTTTTATTATTTTCGATCTTTATTCATTTTACGGTTATTCATGCAAAAATCTTACAAGAAGGCCAGGAACATTTTTACGGAGAAAGAGACAAATTCACCGAGGTTGGACCTAAAAACGTCGGCGATAATAGAGCTTCTATAGTGGCTTTACAATCTCAGAAATAAATTAAATGATAACCTAGGACATAGTGTAGAGCATTTTATTGTATTTGCAAGTTATGCTTGCAGATTAATCATCGTTATATCCAGTGCAAGACAAGCAATTCATTTGAAATTCGGAAAAACAACACACTCACTACGAATGATTGTATTCATGCCGTTCGCGTTTTTGACTTCGTTTTCGCCCGTCCACACTAATCCAATAGAGAGTTTGGCAACCTAGAACGGCAACCACAACGGCAACAGGGAAAATATAATTGCTTATATTATTGTATTTGAGCCAAAGTATACGTTACTACACTTAATTTGCCTCTTTAAGTATTCCTGTTTCTTTCAAACGTACCCTTAAGTAAAAATAGTCCGCGAATTTAAATAAAACACCTCAAAAAACATCCAACGAATTGACTGTTGCCGTAGTCATGCACCGTGAAAATGATGCAAATCACGTACTAGTTTCAACAACTACGGCATTGCACAACGCTTAATACCATGTAATTTACATTCGCCTTTGTCTTTGAAGATTAATGCTATTGTTGATGGCCATATCGGCGTTGCCGTTGCCCTTGTATTTGCCAAACTCTAGCTCTAATGTATACGCCCGCGTTGTCTTGACCTACTTTCAAAGCCGTTTTCGAAAAGCGCCGTTTTCATTGATGAAGGCATCCGTTTTCCATCGTATTAGTGTGGAAGATCGGCGAAAACGCGTGCAAAAGTATACGTTTTCAAACGAAAACGGATTAATGTGGACGGCGGTACATTGGAAAGGTGTCCGCATTATTAGAAAGGCGTTGATATTAAGGACGTGCCCCTTTAGAAAGGCGTGCGCAGCAGAGAATTGTCTGCATCATGCATGGTTCGATTCTTCCTGTTGCTCTCCCCCCGGGGATTTATGTATTCTTTATTCGTAAACTGTCAATTCCCTGCACCCCTGGCCAAATAAAGAAAAGCCAATTCCCCTCCCATGGGCAATATTGCACACGAACACGTTATCAAAATTTCACGAATGTCGACATTTGAAAGACATTCACTAAGCGATAGAACGTCTTCACTAGGGCTATTAAAGACGATGTTAGTACAGTGTTAAACGAAGCATTTTTTCTTCCAATTTCCAACGCAATCTCTGATCTACAAAAATGTTTAAATATGCAAGAAAAAACAGTTGGAGTGCAAGTGGGCCCATGTTTTGCATTTTTCTACGAGTCCCAAAGCCCCTAGCCTGTGAGCATGTGTATTCCTAACCCCTACCCCCACGGGACACCTCCTGGACCAGATGCTCAACAAAATTCCGTCGGTGTACATTTGGGGGGATGGTAACAGGAATAATTGAACCATCCATTACAGAGATGTACGTAATATAGACCGTATTCTGTAATTTGGTTTCAATTCTGTCGCCCCCCTCCCACCCCTTCGGGCGCAACTTTAAATCTACATGAATCTATATATTTTTGTATGCTTTCTTTGTATTTTACGATGAAAGATCAACATTTTCTATTACACTGTAACATTATTGCACCAATTCAAATCCCTTATCACGCGGTTATATGCAGTAAATCGTCAATAATTAGCCTTTCTCACGATGACGAATATCCGCCATTTTTGGGTGGCATCTAATTCTCGTTAACCAATGCAGACAATTAAAACAATGTGAAAAGCAATTTTTAAAAATAAACTAACCCTTTACAAAGCAAATTTACCATCATTCGTCAAAAAATTATAAAAATTCGCTGTAATGTGGACTTATCTCGCAGAGTGGTGGCGTGAGATATATTGCATCAGCTTTTGGGTTTATTGTTGAATTATATATCAAATTGCAAAGAGTATATTGATAAAGATTCTTATATCGACATTTTGGGAATCTCGTTCGATACAACTAATAGTGAATAGTTTTTTAGATTGAATTTTCGAACCTAAATTTCTATACACTTTTTTAGACCTAACAACCAGGAGCAGTTGCAAAAAATGCAACTTTATGCCCTCTGGCAGGTTCGATTATATATATACATGAATCTGTGGTTAAGGCTTAGCAATTGGTCTCTGTAGCACAGCTCGTTAGAGCATTATACCGGAATCGAAGCCAAAGGGCCTATTTTTAAGATCTAACCGCTCCCGGTTAGATCTTAAAAAAGTGTATAGAAAGATTTAGCGCGAACAAATTTAAACGTATGATAGCACTTAATGCTCATAGCACTTAATGCCCCACAGGAAAAAGTTCAGATTTCATGCATGAGCTAGTTTTTGAAAGAACTGCTGCCAATGGTCAATTTGTGTTAAATAAAATACATCTGGGTCCTGAAGATCTATCGAATATCGTGCGCTCCTTGTTCGTTGTTGATAAAAAATTGAGCAACACAAGTTTAGAATCTGTAAAATTCTTGATTAAAGAATCTTTGCAATTTCATATTGAGATGAACCGCGTGATACCCCCACCCCTCTCCCCCGCCTTCGAACTGGTACAATAACTGTGTATAGCATGAAGTTTCAAAAAAAATATTGCTAATTTTAATAGAAAATGATGATGTTTGGTCGTAAAATACAAAGAAACTGCAGGTTTGCATGAATAAATTCGTTCCAGGCATATCAGAATCTGTAAATTTATGTAATTTTAAAGTAGTGCCCGAAGGGAGGCGACAAACTTCGTTTTCTAAGCAACTTTTTTGGTCACAGAACACAGCTATACGCAGGGCCGCCGAGAGGGGAGGCAGGGGGGGCAAATTCCCCCGGGCCTCGAGGCTCTGGGGGCCACTAGAAATTTAATGTTAGAAATTTAATGGGCCCCAGTAATTTTTTCTTTGTGTTTAGGGGGCAATGAACCGAAATTTGGTATGGAAAATTGCGGAAAAGTCCAACGAAAGCAATTATAACGCACCTAAAAAGAAATTATTGTCCGAAAACCGAAAAAAAATTTTCCGGAAAATTTTTTTGCAATAGGGGCCACTAAAAATTTTTTTGCCCCGTGCCCCCGCCAAGCTCTCGGCGGCCCTGGCTATACGATGAGCTGTATTGCTTTCATATATAACAAACTAGTTTTTTCCAAAGGTATTTTTAAGAATATGTTTAATCAATTTTATATTAAAGAATAATTTTTTCACCATGCACACCTGCAGATTTACAAGAATATTTGTAATCAATACCTGAAAGAGGTTTCTGAATGATCTCCAATGTAAATTCCGACACTTTAGCTTCTTCTGGATAAAATGGCTTCTCTTTAAGGGACTCCAAAGTGATAACATTCTCTTCGCCTGACTTCAATTTTCTAAAATACTCTTGGACATCTTCGTTCCAGCAGATGGACGAGTCAAAGCCCTTGGTGTTCTCAAAGAATTGAGGAACACATACATCCGCCGTTAATCCATTTTTTACACAAAATTCAAATATCTCATCGTTGCGAAAGAAAATATCCACGAGGAACGAAAAAAATAACTGGGGCATTGATTCCTTTGGGACGAGCTGTAGTAGTTTGATGTCGCAGTTCAAGTGAATGATGACCCAACGACTAAAAATCCAGTATGTGCGGCTATCAAACAACTTGGCAGTAATTCTTGCATAATTCCAGACAAGAGCCAGCTCAAGATGTTCGGCTTTTTCCTGTATGGTCATTTTATTCAAGACATCAGTTTCATCGAGAACTTTCATTGCCATATACTCGGAACAAATGGAACAATCCCAAGCGTCACCACTATGGCGAAATGCGGCATGAAGAAGGTCGATTGCTTTAATACCTAATTCAGATATCAGAACATTCACGTTTGAACTCCCGCTCTCACTGGAATGAAAGAGATAACGCAAAGAAAAGAATTTGAGGTCTAGAAGAGCAGTAGGATATGGCAGTTTCGCACGAAAACATACATTTTCAAAAAAATCGCCGGGTGAAGGATACTTAACTTTAAGAGTTTTCAAGTTATAGTTTGCCATAATGGAGTGCCCGTTGAGTACATCGCAAAAGAAATCTGACTCTTCGTCTTGCAACCAATCTCTTACAGAACTATGGCTGAAATAATATTTACCCGAATCATCCTTTACTAAGTAGCCTGATAGAAGTTTGAGGACTTTATTGAGATCATGCATCTTAATTTCAGGCAGCAAACCACACTTCACAACCCCTGTAACACTTTCATCGCTCTCCTCATAAGCCTGCTGTATCTTCTGTAAGCGAATTATTTCGCCTTCATCAGGAAGGATAGGAAGTTGCGAAATTTAACCGATTTTTTATATCAATCTCTGTATCTATAAAAGCCTTAGCAGATTGAATGGCAAGCACAATCTGAAGCACAGGTGCAACGTTTCTCTCAAAGAATTCTATATCTGAAAAGTGACGCCTGAAGTCCAAACAGTAAATCTCAGATAACGAGGCAGGCAAACCAATTTCACTATGACCATCAAAGATGTGTTCCATCACTAGTTTAGCATAAAGAAAGCAATTCTGACTAGCCTGAACTATTTTCTCTTTGCCTACCTGCTCGTCATTAGCAAAGAAAGAAGGAATACATTTATATTCAGTTTGAAGTTTTCTGTACTTCATGGAGACAAATTCACGAATATCTTTGCTAGACAGGGACTTGGGACTAGTCTCAAATTGGTCTAGTTTAGCAGAGGTGGAATTTAAAAAAAGGCCCGATAGAGCGGGAGCATTGTGTCTTGCAGTCAAAATGACGCGAAGCCACGAAGGAAGTGTTCCTGATAATCTGGCAAGGCAAGAAGCAATCATGGACTCTCCTTCATCCAAGCCATCGATGATAAGAAAATGTTTGGTATTTTCATTCAATTGCTGCAATGGTGTGGTAATTAACAAATCGAACAATGCATTAGGATAATTTTCAAATTTATCAGTCTGTAGTTTCCCAACCAAGGTAGCATATTCGGGAAGACTCGTCGATAGCATACTGCTGAGACTATAGACTAACGATTTCAAATCGCAGGTGCGAGGATTATCTTTTTGGCAGTAATGGTATCCAGCCAAATTCTCTCCCTCGTGCCGACGGACAAACTCTTGGGCGAACGAGCTTTTGCCTGTTCCAGCACCACCCCAGATAAGGAAGGCACGAGACTCCGGAGGCCTGAGGTCTTTTTTTAACCAATTGTGAATCTCACTGAACAACCACTCACGACCGACAAATTCTTCCTTCATCTGTTCAGAGACTGGGTTGAACTTTAGCTCCTGCTTCACGTCACAAGAGAATTGCTGTGACTCTGATATAGCTTCTAGCTTTTCCAGCCGGCTGTTGGTAGTAATGGTAGAATTTTCCAAGCGATTGATTCTTTTCTCGACAGTTTTCAGGGCGTCTTGTATTCCGTTTTTCTTTATAAATTCATCCAAGCCTTTCCTCAGATCTTTAATCTGCTCCAAGGTTGCCTGCACTTGTTTCTTCCAAAAAGTCTTATCACTTTCCAAACTGACCATATCCTGACCAAGTTCACGTCGTAACTGAACGAATAATTCCAATTCTTTCTCTTCGATAACTGCTAGACCAGTGTGGGATAAACTACTAAGCTCTTTTATGGCGTCTTGGACATCTTTGTCACCGTTTAATTCTGGATCTTGAAGAAGCGAGGTTAAAAATTTCAACGCGTCGACTTTATCAGCATCACTTATATGCAGCGACGGTGCATGTGCCCAAAGATTCCTAGCAGTTCTTGCCGCTGCTATTTTCGAGAGATCGACACCTGTGTTGAACATACCATTTGTCCCTCTCGGAGACCATTCTAATACATTCAACAGTCCCGATATATCAGTAGTTTTGGCGTTGACTACATCAAGTTTTCCCTTTCCCAAGAAAGCCATGAAAATCTTAGCAATCTCCCATGAGGCACCAACGGTCAACCACTGAGTTTTGTCACTGTTGCTCCAGGATATGTTTCTTTTATCACGTGATCGATGGGCATTCTCCAAGTGAGATTTCCACGTTGGTACATTATGTGGCAAAGTTGCAAGCAGTGAATTGTGGTACTTGTCAGCAGCATTTTGAATTATGGTTTCTAAGCCGTTTCGGGTAATCTGGATTGCTCGACCAACAGTAACCCAGTTTCTATATTCTGCATCACTTAGTCCACTGTGAGCCATCACTATTTATTTTTAGCCTTAAAAAATGCATTAGTATATTAACCTCCTCCACAGGCATCTGGAACAATAAAGTACTGCTCAGAAATAACCTAACACTGCGTTCGCGTTCCGAACGCGCGTTGCAGAGGAAACTTGGAAATGCGTTCCCCACTTTGGCTAAAAACCGCGTTCTCGCATCGGAAAATCCGGCCGATACCGAATGAAATCTGAGCTACTGTAGGTTTTGACAGTTGACAACTATGCTTCAAATCGCGCGCGATCGTGTCTTTCAACCCGAGCTAGAAAGGTCTGTGTTGTCAGGGCCGCCGAGAGGGGGGGGGGGGAAATTGCCCCGGGTCCCGAGGCTCTGAGGGGCCCCTAGAAATTTAATGTTGGGCCCCAGTCATTTTTCGGGCGAAATATTTCTGTTTTCGGGCCAAAATATTTATGTTTTGGGGGCAAAGTACCGAAATTTGGTATGGAAAATTGCGGAAAAGTCCCACGAAAATTGTTATAACGCACCTAAAAAGAAATTATTCATTATTGTCCGAAAAATTTTTTTCAGGAAAATTTTTTTGCAATAGGGGCCCCTAAAAAAGTTTTTGCCCCGGGCCCCCGCCAAGCTCTCGGCGGCCCTGTGTGTTGTGCACAGGCTACATTTCAGCTATTTAACAACATGGGATGAAAATAGTTCCGACTAAAACTCAGCCGGCTGAAACTGCTCACGGGCACAAATAGATCGCTATCAAACGTCCTGAAGTAAGCGTATCATGTAGCATACTACCTACAGTTTATTTTAGATTGTCGCCGCTTGTGTAATTTTTTTACGCATAACTAAGTCATTACACATAATTATAAACATTTACAATTAGTCAAAATACTACTGACTGTGACATAATATAATAAGTGCATGCTTACAATATGCATTTACTAACAATCGTACCAACTTATGATGATGTTTTCTTTACTGTGGAACGCGAATACACTCATATCAGCAATAAACATCGCTCGCGATTGTTGCATGAGTTAAGATTGAAATTATCTGTGTTTCTAGTCTATAGGATGGCTAATAAACTGGACGACCGTCCTTACCTTGTGCTTTTTCCGGTATTAGTTTATCCATTTAAAACTCCTCCTGTGATCACAGAAACTTTGATAGTGTAAATTGTAAAATGGGTTTAGTCCAAACACTGATATTTTGGCTACCTCTTTCGGAAATGAAATTCAATAGCCTATTCAACACACGATGAGTGAATAACTTTTGACAATAATTTCCATAATTTTAGACAATACTGTTAAAGTCATTAAAATTCCTTCAAAACTGTTTTTATTTATTTTGATGCCCTTTAGAGTTTTGTGAAAAGTGCGAGCATTTTCTACATGGCCATCAGAAACCTGATGGCGAATAGAGGAAATTAGCTAGATTGTGTTTTGTTTTGTCCTGGAGTATTGACATATGTGTGATGTGTACATCATAGGTTATTTTGATTCGCGAGTCATTAGTGGAAAGCAAATATAAAAACGCGGTGTCATGCTTTATAGTGTGAACACAAAATGTGAAAGTGAGGCTGACTAATACTCGGGAAATCGCGATGATTTCCGACGATGTCCGGTTTCCATACGAGTGTAACCGGAACGCGTTCCGCAGATGCGTTCCGGTAAAAGTGGAACGCAAATGGAACGCGAATGGAACGCATTTAGGAACGCGTTCCGAACGCGTTTTCTGTTAGGTTATTTCTGAGCAGTACTGTATGTCTAAAGTTTCTACAATATTGCATACAGTGCGACCATACATTTTCTACCGGGTAACCACTGACCTATTTGAAACCGGGAAATAGTTTTCCGCTTTGCATTGTGGTTATAGTGGTATAACTGATAAAGATAGCGGCTTCGAATAAAAATATTGAATGTTTTTGCGAATATTTTGCTGTTGGCTATCGCGCACCTGACCCTAGCTTTTTTTAAAAGTTCTTGCACGGGTCAGGACATAAAATAAGCCATCTTGAATATCATGCTGTGTCGCTGTGATACCACTATAACCACAATGCAAAGCGCTACGAAAACGTAAGAAGGGGAATCGTCTATTACTAATACAGACACAGTAATTACTATAGCAGCTAAAGCGGATTAAATCCTGAGATTTCACGTTGGCCACTATATTGAATTTAAACGCGCCGGAGTCTGGTATCTACCTTCGGAAGACCTATTAGTCGGTCGATTTATTCGGAATTTTTGTCGAACAGTCAAAGTACTAAAACGTGTTACTAAGAAATTTTACCAAACATTTTTTATAGTTTGTATTAATTTTTAGCTTCTCCCCAATAAAAATACAGACACCATAATTGATTACATATATTGAAATGACTACCAATTTCTTGCTTTAAGTTTGCGTTGTTGGTAATCTCGCCAAATGTTAAGTGTTTGTACAGGTTCAATTCCTGTCAGAGCGTCTATAGTTGCATTTTCACAACTGCTCCTGGTTAGGTTTAATAAATGGATAAAATTCACACTCGGAATTTCCGTCTATAAATCTCTTCAACAATTAGTTCTGTCGAGTGTAGATCACTCAAAATCCTGATATTCACCCATACACCTTACACTGACGTCACCCTAGTATTTATTCATGAACCTGTGGTTAGAGCTCGACAACTGACCTCTGTAGCTCAGTTGGTTAGAGCTCGACAACTGTCTCTCTGTAACTCAGTTGGTTAGAGCTCGACAACTGTCTCTCTGTAGCTCAGTTGGTTAGAGCTTGACAACTGTCTCTCTGTAGCTCAGTTGGTTAGAGCTTGACAACTGTCTCTCTGTAGCTCAGTTGGTTAGAGCTTGACAACTGTCTCTCTGTAGCTCAGTTGGTTAGAGCTTGACAACTGTCTCGCTGTAGCTCAGTTGGTTAGAGCTCGACAACTGTCTCTCTGTAGCTCAGTTGGTTAGAGCTCGACAACTGTCTCTCTGTAGCTCAGTTGGTTAGAGCTCGACAACTGTCTCTCTGTAGCTCAGTTGGTTAGAGCTCGACAACTGTCTCTCTATAGCTCAGTTGGTTAGAGCTCGACAACTGTCTCTCTGTAGCTCAGTTGGTTAGAGCTCGACAACTGTCTCTCTGTAGCTCAGTTGGTTAGAGCTCGACAACTGTCTCTCTGTAGCTCAGTTGGTTAGAGCTCGACAACTGTCTCTCTGTAGCTCCGTTGGTTAGAGCTCGACAACTGTCTCTCTGTAGCTCAGTTGGTTAGAGCTCGACAACTGTCTCTCTGTAGCTCAGTTGGTTAGAGCTCGACAACTGTCTCTCTGTAGCTCAGTTGGTTAGAGCTCGACAACTGTCTCTCTGTAGCTCAACTGGTTAGAGCTTGACAACTGCATGTCTCTCTGTAGCTCAGTTGGTTAGAGCTCGACAACTGTCTCTCTGTAACTCAGTTGGTTAGAGCTCGACAACTGTCTCTCTGTAGCTCAGTTGGTTAGAGCTCGACAACTGTCTCTCTGTAGCTCAGTTGGTTAGAGCTCGACAACTGTCTCTCTATAGCTCAGTTGGTTAGAGCTCGGCAACTGTCTCTCTGTAGCTCAACTGGTTAGAGCTTGACAACTGCATGTCTCTCTGTAGCTCAGTTGGTTAGAGCTCGACAACTGTCTCTCTGTAACTCAGTTGGGTAGAGCTCGACAACTGTCTCTCTGTAGCTCAGTTGGTTAGAGCTCGACAACTGTTTCTCTGTAGCTCAGTTGGTTAGAGCTCGACAACTGTCTCTCTGTAGTTCAGTTGGTTAGAGCTCAACAACTGTCTCTCTGTAGCTCAGTTGGTTAGAGCTCGACAACTGTCTCTCTGTAGCTCAGTTGATTAGAGCTCGACAACTGTCTCTCTGTAGCTCAGTTGGTTAGAGCTCGACAACTGTCTCTCTGTAGCTTAGTTGGTTGGAGCTCGACAACTGTCTCTCTGTAGCTCAGTTGGTTAGAGCTCGACAACTGTCTCTCTGTAGCTCAGTTGGTTGGAGCTCGACAACTGTCTCTCTGTAGCTCAGTTGGTTAGAGCTCGACAACTGTTTCTCTGTAGCTCAGTTGGTTTGAGCTCGACAACTGCCTCTCCGTAGCTCAGTTGATTAGAGCGCTGCACCGAAATCGCAGGGCCGCAGGTTTGATTCCTGCCAGAGGGTATATAGTTTCATTTTTTGCAACTGCTCCGGGTTAGGTCTAGCATAAATGTATAGAAAGTCCACTCTGAATTGAATTCCATACGTCGACGTCCTATCCTTTGCCGTCCTACGCGCTTAATGTCCCTATACTGTCTTCATTTATTAATCGACCGCAAATATGACTATCAGACCAATGAACGGTTTTATAGATTTTCGCGTCGAAGTGGAACTAAAATCTCGGTTTTCTGATGTGTTTCAGATCAGCAATGCGTACTCTGGCAATGCTTGTTCCAATCCTTGGGACGACCTGGATTTTTGGTATTGTGGCGTTCGCTCATGATTCTATAATTTTTCAATATATTTTTGCTGTATGTAATGCATTTCAGGTGAGTTTATGACATGTGATAGTTTATGGTAGAGTTGCTGGGCGATATTTGAAAAAGACTTTTTATTTTCTGGTTTTACAGGGCTTTTTCATATTCATTCTTTACTGTTTATTTAACACGGAGGTATGTTTTTCTTTTTATCTACCCCCATACAATTGACCATTTGCGTAGTAGACTAAATTTTGATCTCAACAAAAATTTCATTACAGCTTGAAAGAGCATCACAAAATTAGTAATATTCCAAAGTTTCGTTGTAAAATGTTGTAAAATGCGGAAAATATAGCCTTGCGAAATTTGCAATTTTCAGTCATTTTAGATTACAAACCGGAAATTGACAGCCTCGAAGGGTTTGGGGCTGTCAATTTCCCGTTTGTAATCTAAAATGACTGAAAATTGCAAACTTCGCAAGGCTATATTTTCCGCATTTTTACAACATTTTGCAACGAAACTTTGGAATATTACTAATTTTGCGATGCTCCTTCAAGCTGTAATGAAATTTTTGTCTAGACTTGTTTAGTTCAAAATTTAGTCTTATTACGCAAATGGTCAATTGGTTAGACTAATTTTTTTTGAAAAGCAGTTTTTACCCATGCTTGACTATGATCGCCCTTTATAGGTACGTCATGAGTATCAGAGAAAACGGAAGGCGTGGAAAACCGAGAGGGAATTGGATTCTAAACGATCACCACAGAATAATTCATTCGATTTATGAGCATAACAACAGAAAATGTAAATTGATATGGCGGACGAAAGTAGCCGAATTGGAGGGCACAGAATTATTCTTATGATGGCGACATTGGCTGTGAATCAGTAGCAACGGACATAAACTTTCGTAATAGCTGACGATCCTCGAATGGTCAATTTTGTTGGGCCAGAACATGTTGTGAACGAATTTACAAATAAGGGATTTTAGGGACAGATAAGGACTTTTGAATACATTTTAACAAAGTTTCCTTTATGTCCATAATTCACACTGCTATCCATCTACAATCACTTTCAAAAGTTTTTGGGACACTTGCGTTTATATAGATCATTATTCCATCAATGCAACTTATTATAGACATGTGTATCACCCGGCCCTATATCCCCAATCAATGTTGCTTTCCCAATCCAGACACTATATATAGCTCATCAAAATAAGGTGACACCTGGGACACAACATTAAATAAGGTCGCGGAGGACCGAAATTTGTTGAAATTATAGGTTTTTGGGGGATATCAGATATCTGTCCCAACACATTGAAAATGATTGCATATGATATACATTTATCTATCCAGCATTCCAGCTGTGTACTGGCTTTTCCGTCGCAAAGTGTATATATACCGTATTATTCTGATTGTGTCTTGGTTTGCGAAATGCTTAAAGAGTGCTTGATATCATATAGCTATAGAGGAAATTGTATAGTTTCGCTTATCGTAACCCTGTAGCCATCAGACGGCTTCTAAATATTTCTTTAGTATAGATGTAAAACTCAGTAATTCATGAAGAAAATTCAGAATAAACAATGTTTAATGAGGTGTTGTATGCACATATTAAATTATCCTGATTTGCGTCAACCTTTCCCTCGATTTTCACAGTTAAAATCACAACTGCCGAAATTCGTTCTTTTCACAAACTATATACTTATACAGCAGCAGTCGGGTCCGTGTTTTGTATATTAACTGCATGCTGTTATTGCTGTATAATGGTAATACTGGTTATATAGTCGTGGCAACCTTGAAATAAGCAAAACTATATATTATATTATAGTTTGTATATTTTCTATTTATCATTTATAGACCCGGAGCGAGGGGGATTCGGCGTAATATTTTCCGAAGTGATGATATTTTCCGAGGGGAAAATATCATCACTTTGGGAAATACTACGTAAGCATACCATATGACATAGCCCGTATCTTTAAGTTTAACTAGGGCCTATATCGTGTTTTAAGTACTGTTTAAAAAACTCAATAATTCACGAGGAAAATACCGTGAAAAGAAATGAATAATGTTTAATCAATGTTTGTATAAATCGGATAAAGATTTGTCCTGATTTACATAAACTTAAGCTTTGATTTTTTCGTGTTAGACAATGTTTATTTTTAAAATTACTTCGCAAATGAACTCACAAGTCTCACAAGATAGGTCGTTTTTTAATTAAGCACGATAAATGATATTGTATATCAGATAAAGATCGGCTGTTCATGTTTTATCTAGTACTTCAAACATGAGCAGCAGTGTTTTATCATATAAAGATACGAGGCGAAGCCGGGTATCTTTAGGTCTGATAAAACACGTACTGCGAATGTTTTAAGGTGGCTCGTCGATACAGTTTTCAAAAATTCAGGTGTTCAACACTTTGAAATGTTCAAACTACGCGTTTTCAGGATTTAGTCAGCAGATATTGGGTATTTTACATGTACTATATAGATAAAACATGAGCAGCCGATCTGTATCTGATATACAAACTTTTGTATATCAAATACAGATCGGATGCGATTGTTTTATCGTGCTTAAAAAATGACACATCTTATGAGTTCATTGGCGAAGTAATTTTAAAAATAAACAGTGTCTAAGCCGAGAAGATCAAAACTGAAGTTTATGTAAATCAGGACAAATCTTTATCCGATTTACAAACATTGATTAAACATTCATTTCTCGTGAATTATTAATTAAATTTTTTAATCTTGATTTTGATACAGGGTATCTCTACTTTCAAATTATATTAGTTCCAGTAACAGATAGTTCGTTGCTATGACGACATACGTACATGTTCGAAATTCATTCCAAAATGGCCTATCGTCTCGTATAGTTGGAAAAGAAGCATGGTGACTCCCAATTTTTTTTCGTGGATTATTTTACTTGGACGAAAGGCTAATTTTAGCAAAATATAAAAAAATTCTGTAATGCCATTTTTTTTTAAATCCGAAAATGTCGTACTCTTCGGTAAAATGCTTTGGGCATTACAGAATTTTTTTATTTTTTTGTATAATGAAAGTTTTTAGCGGTGCAATACAGCATGCAAAATTTGAACACAGGTCACCAGTCAAAATAGAGAGAGATAGCGCATTGTTTTTCTAAAGTGGAAAATTCTAATGACGTCAGCAATTGGCATAAAACGCTATAGCAACTGCTCACGTCAGGTCATTTTGGAAGGTCTTTCAAGAATGGTCACCCAGTTTTGTTCGCGATTCTTGAGCAGAGTTTTTGTGATAACTAATAATATAATAAGAATAATAGTTTCTTTATCCATCTTTAGTGTAAAAATACAATGGATTTACAGTTAGTAAATCTAAGTAGTAAACTAGGAGTTAACTATATGTACAGATAAAACTTTTTGGAAGAGAAGAATTGTGGAAGAGTTTCAGTGTGGTGTTCTTAACTATAACTATATCGAGACACGTTAAATTGCTTCAAAAACGAAGTAATTTTCAAAAAATACGTTGTGTAAGGGAAATCTCTATCACATATAAAGATACGACACGCTTGTGATTTTTCTTTGTGTTTTCGAGTTTATACGCCTCTGCGGAAGAGGAATACCGGCGCCCACCAGGAATCTGTTATGTTATTAAAAAGTAGCTCACGTTCGAAACTGGGTAAAATCGGTACAACTTAACTGTTGTAGGATCAAAGGTCTATAAATTGCGACGTTTTGGGTATCGAACGAAGAATTTGGTTAAAGCCAAATATTAGATAAATCCGCTGTATTAATAAGATCCGCAAATCCGTGTAAAATATTGGCGAAATCCGAACAATTTTTTCGGCGGAATCCGACGATCCGAAAACATATTTACCCCCCCCCCCCCCC